GCCTGGAGGGGGGTGCGGGCCGCTCCGCCCCTCCGCAGCCGCCTCCGGCCTGACCTCTCCGGGCACAGGCCAGGGGGCAGCGCCTGCTTCAAGCAGCCGGCCGCGGTCCCCAGCCGCTCGGGCAGCGCGGGGAGTTCAAGGGCTGAGTCCTCCGGCTCCAGGAGTGCTCCCCTGGGGAGCCCGGGGTCGTAGTGCAGGCCCGCAACCAGTTGTGCTTTTGGCCGAGACGGGCAGCTGCAGCTGTTCTGGTTGTCTGGGGGCAGGTGGCCCTGAAGAGGGGCGTTTAGTCCGTGTTTTGTCGCTTGAAAGACGTGGGCCGATGGACTGTGCGCACTGGAGCTCTGTGGAGTTGCTGGGTGCAGTGGAATGTCAAGTTGCTACTAATGGCGTTCCTACAGGGACTTACAGGCAGAAAGGAGGGAAAGCTTGTGAGGCGACAGACGATTGGTTAGTCTAATAAAATAGCAATAAGTAGTGATTGCAGCTTTATGCTTTGTTGGTGGATACAGTGTTGTATATTTCTGTCAGTTTATGGACAGGCTGATGCGTAAGTATTGTCACTTACATGTATGCACAGCTGTTCAAAGAGTTTGATATAGACTGAGAAGTAGGAATTTGGGTTATGTGGCTGTAACGTACAGGTATTTCTTGTTTATGTAGAGCAATTCAGGTATACAGATATCAATCAACCGAATTGTGATTAATGAATTGCTGAGCTGTTAAGACATCTTGAATAATTGTATTTTTGTAGAAGGCCATCTAAGTAGTCTCTGTTCAAAACTAAGGAAGGACAGGTTTTGTTAGTATTGTAATGAGGAAAATAAAGTGTTGGGATCCTGTTTGTGGTTTAAAAACACCCGCCATAAAGGTGTAGGGATAACGGAGCCATATCGAACATGTCTCAGAAAACCACGCCCAACAAAGCTGGATTCCTTCTGGCTTGCAGTAAGGGATTTGTGGCACAGGCAGGGTTTGTCTCACTGAGAAATTACTACAACAAGGAAACCTGACCTCAAGAGAGCTTGTGGTAGCTGCCATATTGAAAAAACGTGCATAAAATTTTTTTTAAAGTGACTTAACAGGCTTAACTTGCTTGACTATCATGCCCTCCTGTTTTCAAATGTGTGTGATACTTGGAGCATTAATTCATACTGTATACTAGTGTAGTCCCTGACTTGATTTGTAAGTCTGTGTTTCGTATGTGTAGAAAAGTTGTGTCTTGAAGCATCTTGAAGGTTGATACCTGGATATATGAACCTAAATGTAAATATACAACACTTTTAAAAAAGTAACATTAATATGAATTAATATGGTAATTACATGAGAGGATTTACATTTGAATGTAATCAGTACATATTTTTCTTTTTGGTCTAATAAAAATATTATGTCTTCCTACTGCTTTTGCTATCTTTGGAGTACTTTATGGGCTTTATGCTACTCATGCTCAGACTCACTCAGAGCTTACGCAGTGGAATGCAGTAGTCGACTAATCAAACTTACATAATCACTAATAACATTTTTTTGTAGTCATTAATAACAGTTGGTCTGTGTTCCTGTGGTCGTGTTAATTTGGCTTCAATGTAGGGTAGCTGTCTAAAATGGGTAAGTGGGACATCCCTCCTAATCTTGGCTATTGGTTCCCATCTCCTTTCTCATCCTGGCACTAGTGTTCTGTGGGCTGCAAAAATAATCGGTGAACTGAATTGACTGAAACTAATGAACAACAGTAATCTGATCTAGTTTAAAACATGACTATGCAAATACTCATTCCAACACAAAGGATGAGAATGAATTTTAGTATTGTGGTGGAAGCTTAGATTATCTCTTCTGGTGATGTCAAATTAAATGGCGTTTAACCTTAGGAGGCGCTTGTTTTTTTTTATTTTACCTTTAAACAGGAATGTCCAAGGGTGATGATTGTCCATGATGTTCTTCAACTAGGCAGGTGGCTGACAGCTCTGTAGCTCTTTATTTCTATGAATATATATTCAACACAGCTGGAGTTTTGATTTATCCAAAATAAAAAAAGGGGAGGGGAGTTTAGCCCTGTAGTTAGACAAGTAACAAGTTTTGAGAGTATGTTTTTTAGTGTCTGTTATTCCCTAAAAACCTTTCAAGAGTGATTAGATTGCATACTTTAGAAATGTATATAGTAGCTGTCTTAAGATGAAACCATATACATTTTGGGCAGAGTGCTTGTGTCTTCTGCAGGGAAATAGGGCAGCTGGCTAGTTCAGTTCCTAGGCTATCTCCCTGAATGATCCGTGCTTTGTTTGAATCTACTGTGGTACTTGTCCAGTCCAGTGAGGAGGTCTGCCTACCTGATTTATGAAATAATATGATTGTTTTCCTGACCTTCAGTAATTATTGTTCCTCAATAAACCAGTGTCATCTTACATGATTGTTACTAGCAAGTTTGAAAGACATAAGACTCCTGAAATACTCCTGAATGGAGTTTCCTCCTCACTTGTCAGATTCTTTTTTTTATCAAGTGTCTTTTTGGAATTTGAACCTTTGTCAGAACCCGTTTCCTAAGCATTAACATCTTTCTCTGTGTACAGTGTAGCTAAGAAACTTCATCAAACTTTCCCAAGAAGCTGTTTTTTTGAAGGAGTGTGGTATCTTTGAGTGAAGAGACAGGAATAGTGTTTAAGGTTTTTCCAGTGCTCTTAGAACTCAATTATTTACCTTTTTGAAAATAGAGGTAAAGATTTTAGTCCTGAAGTTCAGATATTACCGCCTTCAATGGTCCCAGAAGAAAAAGCTGTTAATTTTGTTCAAGCTTGAAGTTACAGAAGAAAAGCAGGAACTCAGCTGCTTGTTTTATGCTCGAAGGACAGGTTTGTATTTACACTGCAAAAAAACCTTAAAGCATTGCATTGAATGGCCCCTTTTTTCATCGCTTTTGGCATAGAATGATAAATAAGTGTACACTGAAGGCAAATTATCAGAAGTTCTGAAGTTATGGCAGCAAAACAAAAGTACGGAGCTTGTCCCTACTATTCATTATTTCTGTTGAACAGGTGTGCGGCAGTTGCTCCGCAAGCAGCGTTGTGAGTCTTTCAATACATTATTAAAACTTCACAACTTTTCTTTTAAATAGGCATTCTGTTGTGTAAGGTGGTTTTCACAATTAGTTCAAAACTGGTTTTACGTTTTATGCAGAGGGACAATAATATGTAGTAAAGCAGTGTCTTTAAAGAAATGTGGTATCGCTTTAGGTACTCGTCAGTAACTGTCTTGTTGGTGGTATTCAGTCATTCTGCATTTCATTAGCCTTTCTCAATTGCCTTGAATAATCTGGAATATTTATTAATGTGTGTACTCCTGTGGAATATTATGACTTTAGTTATGTGGCTGTTTAAATCTGCAGAGTTCAGGGGAAGCTTCTCCACATGCAGCAACTCTGAAAATAGGAAAATAAAGGTACAGTAATTCTTAGAAAAGATGCAGTTTTAAAGGCAGTTTTAAAATTAATACTTCTGCCTTTAGGTATCTCAGCAGGAAGACTTGCAAGTATGGAAGTTTTTGTTCCGCCTCTCTCTTCTCCCCCAGGTTGTTTCCAGAAATCTAACCTCCATGTTGATAAGTCTAATAATGAGAGTTCTAATGTTGAACACTCTTTTAGTGCCGCTGCTTGATTCTGTTGGAGATTATTTCTGTGTAACTAAAGAAGTTTAAAAAAGGCTTTGATATTTTGCTAAATAAATCTGCAAGAACATCTGCTTTTTGTGTAGTAGATGCTTCCAAATGATGCCAAATATTATGTAAATTTATCTATTGCATGCTGTCTTTATTTAGTTCAGGAGATTAAAAAAAGACCCTAAATTGCTTGTCATATGAACACTGAAATGCCTATTCTCTAACTGATTCTTTGTGCTGCAAACCCACTGCCAAAGTATTTCCTATAGACTCTAACTTGTAATTTTCCCTGTATCTTTCTAGGCTGCAGATCAGGCATAGTGGAATAAGTAAATGACCTAAATAAAATTTTAATGTATTTCAGTAATATTTTTCTGAGCTCTTAACTGAATAAGTATTTTTGTACACTTCACATAGCAAAGTTAATATTGTTTGAAAGTTTAATTTACAAAAGGTGCAATTACCAATTTTCAGGTTGGACTATTAAAATAGTTCACATAACGTCTGTATAAAGTTAGAGGTTTGTGTTATAGGTCCCTTATGACACAGGGGTGCTTTTGGCTGGCAGTTTTTAGTCCAAGTTGGAGCAGTTCCTTGCTTGCTGAAATTTTTGCTGCTTCTGTACTAGCAGAGCAGCAGTCTGTATTGAGTGGAATACTGCCCTACTTTTCATGTAAAAAGGTTAAGTGATGAGCTGGGAAAAAATGGATGTAACCTCCTGACAGTGGAGGATTTCTTGTTCTGGAGAAATTAATGTCAATGCTCCTTTGCACTGAAAAGGGGCAGAAGTCCTTGAACTTGTCTGTGGTCCATTTGGTGATAAGGCAGGGGTGAATTTACTGTTTGTTAAAAGTTTGGCCGTTGCATTCACTGAAAGCTGACTGTATATACTAGTAAGCAAAAAAGCTCCTTCTTATGCTCTGATATTTATGTTTACATTTTATTATCAAAAACTCGTAATAAAAATCGGATTTGGTTTCTGTTAGATCAGTTGTTTGATCATTTCTGGGACACTTTTATGATTTAAGTATACTAAATTTAAACTATATTTACAGGAGTCTTGCAGAAAGGAATGTCATGGGAATTTAATAAGACTTGAACTGAATGATATTTTGTTTTCCTGAGAACACCTTTCTGGAATTTGGAAGCAGTCTAATATGTGAATCCTCTGTCTCAAACAATGAACCCCTAAAAAACCTAAACTGTTTAAATGGTTTGAATCTTTCTTGATTTTTTTTTTTTTTCCCCCTTCCCTCTTTTAAAGGTACATTTGAGCTTCTTACTGTTTCTCCATCGGCTAGCAGAAGAAGCCAGGACAAATGCTTTTGCAAACAAAAGTAAAATAATTAAACCTGAGCACACTATAGCTGCAGCAAAGGTAATAAAGCATTTTTAATATTTTTCTTTTTTGTTTAATGTCAAATGTATTATGATAAGCTATATAAAAGTTTTCTATGTTAGTGTTGATATGTTTTTATTTATAATGCAAACCCTACAGAAACATATTGTTCTTTAATCCATCATTGGCATAATTCGCTGTTACCAAGACATCAAATTAGCTCTCCTTGTCCTATTAAATATAGCCCTATTTTTCTTGATTATTCCATGTTTAAATTCATAGTTTCAGTATGTGGGTAAGTCTACACAGTAGTCTACCAGCAAGCATCCATGGGCTGAATGCTCAGGGAACAGAAGCAAATTTCAAAGTTGGAGGATCTTTATTTCAGATGATACTATATCAAGGAAGCATGCTGTCTTAACTCAGTAATATAAAAGAAGCTTTATGGAATGAGTGAGAAATAGTTCAGAGAAGTTCAAATATCTTTCTTATATGTTCCCTTCTTACCTGCTTAGTCTGAAAAATGTTTGAAATGGATTCTTGCAGCATTGCGTGGGTACTACTTGAACAAACAAATACTTTGTCTGATGTTGTGTTTGAGCAGGGAAGAACTAAGGGAGGATTAAACTGTGGACCCCTTTGTGGGTAGTTCAGCATAACAAAAATTGCTGTATGAGTATCTGTGGAGGAGGAATCCTCTGCATTACAGAGCATGGTAAGTTTTGCATACCTGCAAAAGAAGGGAAGGCGGAAGGTGTTATGCAGCTTTCTCTCTAGAAAGAATTGGAGTACTGTCAAAGTGTGACTGAAATCCTTTTGTATTATATAGCTCATTTCACTTGTAGAATATGTCTGGTTTACCTAGGTTTCATGAAGGAACTCTGTCTCTTCAATTTTTTGTCTCTTGAACCACCTACTACTGCTAGGCAAATTGGAAGAACAAAACTCAGTGGTATCTGATATTTGGGTCCTGTGGCTTCTGTTTATCTTCAGTTGTGTTTTATTTTTCTTCTGGTGAAATATTTAGTTTGATACTTTCTATTACTATAGTAACAGAAATATATACAGGATGTGTAGGGTAGCCAAGTGAATGTTACAGTTGGAATCTTATGCATTTGTAATTTCTTTTTGACTGAAATCTTAACATTATTTGAACATTTTTGTGCTCTATTTATTTTTTTTTTTTTTTTTAGATGAGAAGAAAGGAAAAACTGCCTTCATTTTAATAATGTTAACACTTAAATGGTCCCACTTGGGCTTTGAAGTTAATTTTTCAACTTAAACTCCAAACCAAAAAATGTCCTTCCAAGGGTCTGGGCACTCTTGATATAGAAAGAAATAAGGCATTACAAACAAAAAATGAGCTTAGTAGCTGTATAATTGAAAATCTTATTTTTTTTCTTTTTATCTGGGCCTAGCGGGGTAAGAGCTTCAAGGAATTTGCTGAGGGCTTGAGAGCGCTATTAACGTTTCTCAGCATTCATTTTTGAAATAAGCCTTTTATTTTACAGAATTCTTGGTTATGAATGTTCTTATTTAAAAAAAACCACAACTTTCTGATGCAGCATTTTTCTATATACTTTTGCTTTATTTCTAGCCTTTTCCCTAGACATTTACCCTTGGTGACTCTACTCTTGGAAACAGATTGGTTAGGTGAATCTTTGGTCTGAGTAGCCTTGTGTTTTGGAGCTCTTATTGCTGCCTGGATTACAGTGATAAAAGTAGTGATGAATATACTTTTTTCTTTTTGCAGGTTATTTTAAAGAAAAGCAGAGGCTAGAAAAGAGACCATCGGAATTTCAAAACGTGTTTTTCTGTGTGTTCTTACTAATGTGAGATCCTGTGAGCCAGCTTTTACGCTTGTAGAAGTATTTAATTTTATTGATGTCTTATCTACTGACTCTGAGTATCTTTCTGTTTCTTTAAAAAAATAATCTTACAGTGTATATTTGCATATACTTCATGCATAATTTTAAAATGTGTGTCACTTGTCATTTAAGACTCTTGATGGAGTAATTTGTTATTAGAAGTGTGAAACTTTTGAAGGAGAACCATAATAAAAATGCAGGTTTCACTAAATCCATTATAGATTGTGCAGTTCAAAGCAGATTTACTAGCTAAACAAAATCTTGGCTTTCTAAACAACTGCTGTACAAACTAATTTATTAAATATCTTGGCTTCAGTTTATTTATAAATGTCTTAATATTTTTTGAATTACTTTTTAAAGTGGAATCGAACTTAGCTGTTTTGGGAAAACAATACATATTTGTATTTGTAAATCATGCACTGAACTCTTAAGCTGGCCTGTATTTTGATGTTGTATATGAGACAAGTTGGTGGTCTCTAATTCAGTTGGTGTGGACAGATGCACATTATGGAAAAGATCTGGCACAGGTGATGATTTTGAAGTTAGATCCTGTGCAAATAGTGAAGATAAGTTGGTATGAGTGCCAAGATACTACTTCCCTTTTGAGTGTCATCCGAAATTGTCAGAAGTCTGGAAACAAAGATATAACAATATCTTTTACAATCATTCTATTCCTAATCTGATATCTTTAAACAGTTGCTGAACACTTAATAAATCTTTTAATATAGTTCAATGTCACAGTTTGAGCTGATAACACAGTTTTGTGGAATATGTGGTAGCTGATCCTTCATATGCACAGTGAGCTATTCTTAAAATAAAGAATTTTTTTAAACATTATGTATTGAGTAGTGTAATTTTTTTAACACATTACTGAGTATATTCTAGAAACTCACCAAAATATTGCATTTATAAGTTTTTGTAGTCTAAGGAAACTGGAGCAATGCCACAACTTCAAATTTCATATGTCTATATCCTTTATAAAATCCTGTTTACAGTATGCAGAAAGGAAGGATGACTCTTAACTCACAGGGCTTAGTTCAGTCTGCTTCTTGTAAGGTTGACTTAGATTCCTTATTCTGCATTTTCTTCTTTTACTCCCTTGGAATCCACAAAGAAAGCTGAGAACATACATGTGTAAAGGATATTTGGATTTAATAATCTGAAGTACATTGTCAGGAATAAAGGAGATCGGACTAGGTATTTATATTTGTAATTTTTGTCTGTGATTTAACAATTTTATTGCAACATTAGATTTTCCTTTGTTAGAAATGTTTTCTCCTAATTTTTCCCTGAAATATTTTCTTATAGTCTTGTATAACCACACACCTTTCATCATTTTACAGCTGTTTGAGTGCTGTAGCTTCTTTTGCAACTTGTTTTGTTGTCCACTAACTTTTTTCTTTTTTGATTTGCCTAGGCACAGGATCCACTTTGAGCTTAGTGGGATGTTCTCGTTCTTATGTAGTAGATGGATGATCAGCTACCACTGGGGAAGAGAAGCAAGGAAGGGTTAAAACCAGCCATCAGTGTACTTTTAAAATATTTTATGCAGTGGTTTTGGCCTGTATTCATGGTTAAGAAGGTGCCTTTTTTTAATAGGAGAGGGACTTTTTCCTCTAAGCCCTGAGAAGTTTGAGTCAAAATGTGTCCTGTGACTAGTTTGCCAGTACTTTGTGCACATTTCATAATAGCTGAAGCAGGCAAGTAGTCAGAAGACCTGAATAGCTTGGCAGGTATTCACGTTTCTCTTTCAGTAAGCATTTATTTAAAGTTTAATTTAATGTGGTTGATGTAATGTGGTTAAGCATTCAGAAATATAAAATGCTAGTATGTTTTTCTAGTATGTTCTTCTTGAATGTTCACCATAAGTTTAATCAATCTGTACTCCTTCATGTACATACATAGGGTCCTTCTCTACCCAGTACTCCTTATTGGATTTTTAAAATCAAACTCCTTACAGCAGTGTTGCCTAAATACCCATGAACACTTCCAATTAATGTAACCTTGGAGGATATACTAATCTATTTTCTCTTTCTGAATCTCTAATGACAAAACATCAAAGCATGTAGTTCTAGAAAATGTCTTTTAAACTAGATCTGTGGTAGAATGCCTAATAAATACGGGTTCTCTTACTTGAATTCCTGTGTTGATTCTCTGCCATTAGGAGGAAAAAGTCAAGGATTATTAAGGGGAGAGTCATGCTGATGCAATAAAGTGTCTCTTCTCAACTGTTTTCATAAAAAATTTAATGTTCAGAAACCATTGAGACTATTGACTCACTACTGAATTTCCTCTGCTTTTAAAGGTAGGAGGTTTTGAGAAGGAGGGGTGCTCAGACAATACAATTACAACTATTTATTTCCTCAGGAAGGCAGGATAGAAAGCCTAAAAATTAAAGGCACACTAAGACATTATCCAGTTTTTTTCCATTCTGTTTCTTTGCAGCTTTCTCAGTGTTCTTCTGTTTCATGTTCTACTCTACCCTTCACTATGACCATCAATGAAAGAGGGAAAAGTCAAAATGAGTAAATTGAAGAATTTGGCAAAATACTTTTGGTGGCCCTTGTCTTGGTTTTCAGCTTTTCATGTAGCCAATGTTAGTCTCTCAGCCAGTGAGTAGTATTGCAAGTATTTAAGGCCCAAAAGAAAAAGAAATATGTTTATTGTTAAGCAAGTGACTATGAGGGAAGAGTGTTTTCTCTTGTGAGGTGGTGCTGCTGCTCTTTGTTTCACCTTATGTATGGTGTGACTGATGAAAGAGCAGTTTGTCAACCTGAGTAAGTCTTGTGAGGAGTGCACACTAGTCTAGCTCTCATGGTCACATCATTTTGCTTGCAAGATACATGAAGACAGGAGATAGTTGTGAAAGCTTTGAAACTAGATTTGTGTACACATTTGTTTTAACCTTTAGGGCATGTAAGTTTAATATTTTCCGAGTGGTATATATCATCTGATTATTAGGTTTAAAACTTTAAAAAAAAAAAAAAAAGTATGACTATTAAGAATGGTGTGTCAGTAAAGGTTAGATCTATGGAGAGATCTAACTGGTTAACTCCTAATGGAGTCCACAGGAGTATGTGGACTTTTTGTGGGTCAGAGCTCAAATAATCAGTGTTTATTTGAATCTAAAGTTATGTTGGATCTTTAAGTCTGCTCTTTTAATGCAGAAAATCAACACAGGTGCTAGAGAGGACATTTATGTCTTGGAATTTTATTGTGCTGGTATATGGAGTGCAATGTTACTAAAAAAGAATCTTAAGTTGCATAATACACATGGTAAATATTCTCTGGCTATAGTAATACAGTAAAAAATTAGAAATTTGCATTAGATATCTACAATTAGATATTTACAAATTATAAATTGTAAATATTTGTATTAGATATTTGTAAAAATTATTTTTCTAGCCATAAGGTGGAGATAGAGCAAAAAATGTCTTTCCTTCCTGCAGTAACTTCCCTTAGAGAAAATATTCTGTTTATTCCTACTAAAAAGTATACTATAGGTTGTGACACTTTCAGATTTATTTTTTTTTTTTGAAGACAACCAGGCCTGCCCTGCTTACATATATATGGCAATTAATGTTTAAAAAAAAAAAAATCCCATTCACGTAAAAAAAGGTTGTTCTGCTGATGTATGCTGAGAGGGTAAAAGTTAGATATGCAAGGCTTTGATGAATCTTGAAGATTTTTATTTCTTTGAAGCTCAGTGTTTCAGCATCAGATAGTTTTCTTCATTCTAGATCTAGCTATTTGTACAATATAGCCTTGTTCTTAGAAATTGGTATGTTCTATGGGCAGCTTTATGCAGGAGGCATTTGTAACAGGACATTGCTCATAGAGCAACCTTAACTATAAAACATAGCTCCTATTGGTTGATTTACTGACTTGGCGTTCCATTAGTCTTACTATCAGTTTAGAACAACTAATGATAGGCCATTGTCACTTCTTAATACGTAGGGTTTTGAAGTGACTCATCATTATGAGTATATATTTAGGTGTGACTCATTTCAAGTAGAAGTGCTGATTACAGTAAAACAGAATTCATTTTTCTAGAGCTGTAAACTATATGTCAGATCTAAGTTCTTTGGATTGTTTCAAAGCACTGTGTGTAGTTGTTTTTCAGTTCAATATACTAAATATATGCATTGGCATATAGATTCCTGGATATGTTTTAATGGTACTGTACTTGTAGCTGCTGTGGTAGCCTACTTGGATATGTCAAAAGAGCATAATAGAACAAAATTTCTTACACGCTTGAGTAGTTTCAGTTCTAGGGTGTGCAGATGCTGACAGCATTGTTGTTGTGCTAAATACACAATTGCAAATTTTTGAGGAAGTTGGTGAAGTCTTCCCACCTGACAGCTTGTGTTTCTGCAGACATAGTCAGTTGGAATTTGCTCATTTACTGTTTAGTGAACAATGTTGGGGGTATGTCAGGTTTTTTTGCAGTCCACATTGATCAAATTCACACGGGCTTTGGTACGTAATATTCTCCCGTGGGCTGGTTTATTAATGTTAATCCTGAACAAACTGCTGAAAGATCTTTTTGGGTCATTTGATACCTGTAAGCTCAAGTTTCTTACTGAGAAGGTCACTTTCCTGAGGGAATGATTTCAGTGTGTGGAGAACTTAGTAGAGCATAGAAAAATGCCTAAACAGCCCTAAAATGGCTTCTGGTTTACAAAAGAAATCTAGACACAGCCTTACTACTAGGTAATAATGTGATTGCAGCAGTTAAATAAAACCAACCAGCATTTCCTACAGGAATGGCTTGCTCTTAACCTCCTAGCATTAGGTCAGGCTCTACAGAAACAGACCTATTTTGTTTCCTAAGTGTGTAGATCCTGAATAAAAAATTATAAAAAGCAAACACTTCCACATAAATATAATAAGGAATAGGGTTGGATTAGCTGGAGCTTCTAATCCTGTATATCAGGTTTAAATTGCTCTAATTGTATTTGTACTAACCTCTAAAATTGACAGCCTAATATGAATTTTTTAATTTGTTTAACTTCAGCAGGTAAGTACACACACAAATTAGATTTATATAACTGTAATCAGTTTTAATGAGATTTGTGCAAGTTTATAAATAAACCAAGTAAAGGGAAACATTTAAGTAATAAGTAAGCCAGTTTTAAAATTCTGTTGCATAGCTGAAATCCTCTTAGTACAAGCAATCCTCTAGCCCTACCTGTTGGAGGGTACTCACAAGTTAACATACTGATGGTAGGTTGCATTTAAACATGTTTAAATTCTTTAGTTTGTTTTCACTCTTCAGAGAAGATTATGTGCACACAATGCTGTTTCCAAAACTGGTAAGCTGTTTAACTATTAATGATTTTGAATGTTGGTCAGCAATTAAAAATGAGTTACAGACAGACCTTAATTGAAAAAAAAAAAAAAAAAAAAGGGGGGGGGGGG